TCTCTACGATCGGATACCCGAGTGCAAAGTTACGTTAGTTTGAAGTTTCGACCGAAGTTAGGAGTTGGTCGGAAAAAAAAAAATTGGACCAAACCGCTGGTTGGGATGGCGGTTTGGGCCAAACCGCCACCCCACCCAGCGGTTTGGTCCAATTTTTTTTTTTTTTTTATAACCGCCCCCTAGGCCCGCGGTTTGGTCCAAAACCGCGCCCCCGACAAGCGGTTTTCGACCAAACCGCTGGGTGGGGTGGCGGTTTTTGAAAAAGGGTGGTATTTTTGGAATTTTTTGGGGTTGGGTGGTATTTTTGGAATTTTTTTTTAAACAGTGGTACTTTTGGATTTTTTCCCGATTCTTGAGGCTACAAATCACAGAATCGGGCCGAGGTTATTCTCCACCTATAATGAAGTCTACTGATCCTATTCTCAACGGATGATAAGTCCATTAAGCATCGATTTGGGCCAGTTTATTTTTGGATTGCATTTTCATAATTTTGTGGGTGACAAAGGCCATTTTCTTTGGATTTTGAAGGCTACAAATCACGGATTCGCCCTGAGTTTATTATTCAACGATGATTAAGTTCATTTAGCACCGATTTGGGCATATTTATTCTGGGTCAATTTTCGAAAGATTCCAATGGGGTACCATCACAGATTTCGTGCGATTTTTCCCAAATGCTATATTCTTTCAATTTTGGAGGCTACAGATCGCGGAATCACGCCGAGACTATTCTCCACCGATAATGAAGTCTATTGATCCTATTCTCGACGGATGATAAGTCCATTAAGCACCGATTTGGGCCAATTTATTTTTGGATGACATTATCGTAATTTTTTGGGCGACGAAAGGCTATTTTCTTTGGATTTTGAAGGCTACAGATACCGGATTCGGCTGAGGCTATTCTTCAACGACGATTTAGTCCATTAAGCACCGATTTGGAAGGATTTATTCCGGGTCAATTTTTGGCAGATTCCAAAGGGATACCATCACAAATTTCGTGCAAATTTTTCCAAATGCCATTTTCTGGAGTCTATAGATCACCGAATCAGGCCGAGGCTATTCTCCACCGATAATGAAGTCTATTAATCCTATTCTTGACGGATGATACGTCCATTAAGCACCGATTTGGGCAAATTTATTTTCGGATGGCATTTTCGTAATTTTTTGGGTGACGAAATGCCATTTTCTTTGGGTTTTGAAGGCTACAGATCACGGATTCGGCCTGAGGCTATTCTTCAACGACGATTAATTCCATTAAACATCGATTTGGGCGAATTTATTCCGGGTCAATTTTTGGCAGATTCGAAAGGGGTACCATCAAAGATTTCGGGCGATTTTTCTGAAATGTGATTTTCTTTCTATTCTGTAGGCTACAGATCATGGAATCAGGCCGAGGCTATTCTCCATAGATAATGAAGTCTATTAATCCTATTCTCGACGGATGATAAGTCAATTAAGAACCGATTTAGGCCAATTTATTTTTGGATGACATTTTTATAATTTATTGGCCGACGAAAGGCCATTTTCTTCGGATTTTGAAGGCTACAGATCACGGAATTGCCCTGAGGCTATTCTTAAAAAATGAATAAGTGCATTAAGCATCGATTTGGGCGAATTTATTCCGAGTCAATTTTTGGCAGATTCCAAAGGGGTACCATCATAGATTTTGGGCGATTTTTCCGAAATGCCATTTTCTTTCGATTCTGGAGGCTACAGATCACGGAATTTGGCCGAGGCTACCATCCACCGATATTGAAGTCTATTGATCATATTCTCGACGGATGATAAGTCCATTAAGCACCGATTTGGGCCAATTTATTTTCGGATGACATTTCCATAATTTTTTGGGCGATGAAATGTCATTTTCTTTGGATTTTGAAGGCTACAAATCACGGATTCGGTCTGAGGCTAATCTTCAACGATGATTAAGTCCATTAAGCACCGATTTGAGCGGATTTATTCCTAATCAACCATCACATATTTCGGACGATTTTTCCGAAATGTCATTTTCTGTTATGTTTTCTCCTCTTCATAGCTCTTGTGTGGAAATACTTTGTGTTCCTATCACCCGCGTTGATCCATTCCATACATTTTAATCAGAAAAATCAATACAATTTCTCCTAAATTAATCTAGTTATCATGTTACACAGAAATACTTAAAGACGAAATAAAACACAATTGTAAACTCTTTTAAGTGCTTTCATCATATTTTTAACTGATTTTGTTCGATTTTATACATCACCAACTTTTTCACGATTTACAATATCTTTTAATGCCTCATATCTTATCTTATCTTAACTTATATTATGGTCGTTGTTAAGAAAGTTTTTGTCACATAGGACAAAGAAAACTCCACAATTTTCCATGTCATTTTTATAATTTTAATATTTTGAAGGTATTAATTACATTAACATAAAACTAAATAAACATGTATATCAATCATCATGACCAAGATTTGAACCTATGACCTATTAGGTTAAACTATCATCATATCAAGTGCTCAACCAGTGGGACAAAGTATTTTTTATGTTATTAATCACATCAAATCATGTATATCAATCACCATAACTAAGATTTAATCATGCAACCTAGAAGCTCAAATTGTAATCATTTCAGTTGTTTAACCAATAGAATTCATGTGACCTATGAGATTAAACTATAATCATTTCAGGTGCTCAACCAGTAGGATAAAGTATATTTGATGTCATTAATCACATCAAAACATGCATATCAATTACCACAATTAAGATTTAATCATGCAACCTAGGAGCTCAAACTGTAATCATTTCAGTTGTTTAACCAATAGAATTAAATCTCTTGATGCAATTAATCACAACAAGATTAATACTCATGTTAGAAAAAATATACAACATATAACATTTTATTTTTATTTAATGGTTGACTTCTATACATTACACAATAAAAACTATCACAGACAAAATTTTGTATTCTATTTTTTAGCAATGATAGAAAATCATTAACAACTAGAAATAACCTATGTTTAATTGTTAGTTTATAATATGTTTGATAATTTTTTATAATTTTTAAAAATAATTAAAGATAAAAAAATGAAATTAGTGATACAGAATTCTAAACTTTTACATAATTTGACATGTGATTTTTTTTAAATTGAAAATAAAAAAAGCAAAGAATAACCTTCTTTCGTATTGTAGAACATGAAGCATTTAACATTTTGTTTGTACGAAATACTATATATATGCGAGCCAATACAATTATGTTGCGAAGTACTAGAAATATAACAATTTCTTTTGTATGCTTACTATATTATTAAGAGATAATAGCATGTAGTAACAATGATGATTAGCTAAGTCAAAACATAGTCATAATAACTTATTCATGTGACATGTTCCTATACTTTAAGATTAATCAAATATATAAACATAGTTCAGTCATATGCTAAAATGATAAACGACATATCATGTGTTTAAGAATATCACCAATGGTCACCAAACGTTTTTTTGTATCTTTTTCAAAATCGAATTATGATTATATAGCTTAATTATGTTTGTGATCAATTGGTAAAAGAAGTTACAAGAAAAGTAATGTGCATATACAAATATGCATTTTGTAATTTTTAGGGATTGATTTTGACATTTCTCGCGTATTAAAATAAATCAAAATGGGTTAATTGCAAGTTTGGTCACTGAGATTATTAAAAACGTTCATATTTAGTCACTCAAAATATTTAATTCCATTCGTGGTCAATAAAATTAGTAAAACATTTCAAGTTCGGTCACTCTCCGTTAACTTTGGCTGATGTGGCAGTCAACTCTCAAAGTTGACCGTTAAATGTGTGACGTGGCACTTAAAAAATAAAAAATTAAAATTAAAATTTTATATTTTAAATATTCCACCTAATTATTATCATCACTAAAAAAATAAAAATAAAAACCTAATTCTTCTACTACCTCGGCCTAACCAGCTTTCTCCTCCCCCACTCCACTCGCCGCCATCACGGCTGAAGGTCCGACATCCAGATCGGGTTCTTTGAGAGTTGGTACTAACAGTGATTGAGGGGCATATATTGAGATCTCTGTTTGTTATAACCGGGCTGCTACGGATCGGGAAATCGCCGGGATCGACAAAGCAAGAATACGAAAGCGAGAATCGAAAACACGACACACGATTTACGTGGTTCACTAACACGATGTGTGTTAGCTACGTCCACGGGCGAGAGAGAGCCGATTTCACTATATCAAGGAGATTACAGATTACAGAGGAGTATGAGAAGTATTTATAGTACTTCTCCATGTGGGTCTAAACCTAATCCAATCTAGCAAAGGAAATGGTTACAGACCAGGCCCAGAACAGCGAGACCCCCGATTACCAGTCGTAGCGGCTGATAATCCGATTCAAGTCATATCAACACTGTTACCATTTACAACTCATTAATCTTCAAATGGCAGACATCCCTTTCCCTAAACTGATCATGGATTTCCAGAGTAGTCTCAAACTGCAAAATTGAGTAAGAAAACCCAGAAAGAGCTCAACTTGACTATAAGGAACAAACAGTACTATAAGTAGATGGAATCATAGTAATGGCACTGGGTTTTTGTATCTAGCTAGAGCTCAGCTCTGCTCTGGGCATTTTATATATCATCATCATTGATTCATCAAATCGTTTCTAACTAATTACACCTCGTCATATATGATTCTACAAGCTCAACCCAATCAAGCTCATGACAAACCTGACAGAAGTAGAAGAAAAAAATGTAGAAGAAGAAGAAGGAAAAGTAAAGGGGAAAACTTATGCTCAACTCTGTAACAGCAGAGCAATTGATCATCTATTAGATGCTGCCTTTGTCTCGTCCTTCAATTCTCTCACAAACAAAATTCCACAAGTGAAAAGAACAATAATAAATCAAGATTAATCCGGTAACGAGATTAATTGATGCATCAATTGGCGATTCATGAGCTTGCCCTGGCCAGAGGACGAGGAGAGAGAGAGAGAGAGAGAGAGTTGGGTTGGATGATGATGTGGGTCAGGGATCGGCGGCGTGCTTGTGCCAACAGACGAGCATGGCGATGCAGCGGCGCATGATGTAGAATCTGGCCTTCTGTTCTTTCGCCAAGTTGGTGCATTTCCGCCCGATTGAAGACGAACCCCCCTTTTCAGAGAAACCCTCGCTTGCCCCTTCGCCGTCGCCGCCGGCGTACTTGAGGGAAGAGCTTTTTCTCAGGAACGGAGACTTGTTTGAGTAAGACGAGGACGAAGACGCTGATCTTTACGTAGACAAATAACTACCTGACAGCGGACATCCGGATCGGGTTCTTCAGTAGAGACCACAACACGAGAGGGTCTTCAGCCGTGATGGCGGCGGGTGGAGTCGGGGAGGAGAAAGCGGGTTCGGCGGAGGTAGTAGAAGTATTAGGTTTTTATTTTTTTTAGTGATGATAATAATTAGGTGGAATATTTAAAATATAAATTTTATTTTATTTTATTTTTTAAGTGCCACGTCACACATTTAACGGTCAACTTTCAGAGTTGACTGCCACATCAGCCAAAGTTAACGGAGTTAGACGGAGAGTGACCGAACTTGAAATATTTTACTAATTTTAGTGACCACGAATAGAATTAAATATTTTTAGTGACTAAACATGAACGTTTTTAGTAATCTCAGTGACCAACCTTGCAATTAACCCAAATCAAAATATTTTCTTTTATATTGTTCCAATTTATTTCTATTTTCATTTTTCATACTTCATTTAATTTTCTTCCATTCAATTATATAAAACAAATTGTGTTTACTTTTTTCTACTTTAATTATAATTCCTTCCTTTTCTCTTTTTATTGTTTGACATAAGTTCTTTTCTTTTTCCTACATGATTGTAAATGTGCAACTTTGTGTCATGTTCAAATGCATAGCACCTAAATTAAGCAAGATTTGTAAATGAATCTAATCAATTGGATATATATAATGGATGAGATGTAAATAACTATTTTAATCCTTAATTATATAAAATGTGACGCCCTAATACATATATTACTATTACTATTTTCAGTAACCAGTTATACTCGCCGGATAACTCGACTCATAAGATAATGTTCTAATTCTTCGTTAAATCTGTTATATTTAAGAGTATAGCTCGAAAGGACTTATTGTCTCTCCCAGTGACCATGGCAGAACATTGAGTATTCAGTTTCCTATCACCCACCTCTCAACCTTTAATGGATTAACTTAACTATCAAGATACACCTGATATGATACATCTCATTTAGTCAAATAAACATCCATTCATCCCCACATGCCATATCACATTCATCATCTCAAACTCAAAAAATCCATACATTCACAACACAAGGACCATCAGCCAGTCTTGATAACTCATTGTATAAACATGTATGCTTCAAGTATCACATCATACTGGCATCACCATGTAACCCCGTCCTAACATAGCGAAACATCACACCAACTCATGGTAAATCATTGTATAAAACACCATAGAAAACCATCACATAATCATCATCATCGACATGCACATTTCGTATACCACATCATAAGTAATCTTTATACAAGGATTAAATCACATGCATAGTTAGGTTAATTCAGTACTTTTTACTTCATAATTTGCCAAGTCATACACTCCTCGGGTAGTATAGTAGATGTCCTATATACCACCACAGATTATACATAGATTGGTGTCATGGAAATTCACTGGGAGATCATACCCTGACTGATGTACTCTTTACCAACACGGGATGTACCCGAACCAGTGTCCTGTCAAACCAACGCATGATCATACCATGACCGATGTCATGTAAATTCATCTACTGTACCAATTGCACAACAAGGCGCCTTTACCTTTGTATTAAGTTATCGCACATTTCCAGTTACAGTCAGTCACACATTTAATATTGGATGATAATGTGAAGCGAAGACAAAGTGTCTCTATAACTAACATTTAGTTTTGACATCATTCATAAAACGTTGAAGGTAATAAAGAAGCATTGCATAATAGTAGGGCTGGAATTCAGTTGCGATTTTGCGGTTAAACTACTAACCAGACCAAAATCGCGCGATTAGCAGTTAACAAAAAAACCGAAAATAGCCTATTTTGTGGTTTGCGGTTTAACCACAACCACAACCAGGTAACAGGTAACCGCAATTTAACTGATTATTTATCCGGTTAACCATAATCTGGTGGCCCTTGATCCATCCTCCCGCATTGGCAGCAAAGCCGACAACCCAAAATTTTTGCAACTCATCTGAACAATTACTAATGCATTTAACCTCACTTTGTGGTTGTGGTTAACTGCAAACCGTTTATGGTGCGATCGCGGTTGGCATAATGGCTCCGTATCGGTTGTGGTTAACCACAAATTTTGGTGCAGTTAACCGCAACCGCATCGATTCCCAGCCCTACATAATTGTTTGGTTGTACTTTAATATACTGGTGGCAAAGGCTAGCGTACACTCGATGTGTAATATACACTTTCATTCACACCTATTAGTTATATTTTAATATATTTTGACAAATAAAATTCGTTGGTGACTATTTTTGCATTAAATGAATCGTACGATTTAGATTAGAGAATTAGAGAATGAGGTTCACCCATTAGAGACTATCGTATAATATCATGTCCAAACTCCGTTAATTCATGGCCTAAATAGCAAACATTGATAGGAGTACGGTAAAGTGGCGTACGCTAGCTTAAACCATGTTCAACTTATGAAGTTGAAAATTGTTGGTCAATCAAAGATCAAATGGTCATGAATACTATGTTCCAAGCGGTGACAAAATTACAACATTGTTTGACATAATTGTTGATCATGATTAAAACCTGGATTAAATGTAGCGCCCCTCATATCAAATGAAACACGAATAATAGATAACAACAATAAATAAATATAAAAGTAGGAATCTTATACCATATGAAAAGTACACACAAATGACACTCACCGCCCATCGGGCGTGCACGAACTAGTATAAGATGTGTTGGTTATAATTCAATATCATACCATTTTGGTTATGATTCATTTAGTATTTGTACATCCACCCACCTATTAATTTATGTTATCTTCATGAACAAGTGGGTGGACACTGGTCCTTTTGTGCTTCTCTAAATTCCTTCCCAAATAATTTTAAATAGCTAAAAAACAAAAAAGGCCAAAAATAGAGTTTTTAAATATTCACTCTTCCTCTAGATTTTTTCATCATCCACTTTCAGAAAATAGAAATCAGCAATTCTCCTGTCCACAATTAACTAACATCAGACACTCTTCTCCCACTCCAAAGACGTGGCAGACACCCAGGCCAATCAAGCTACCACACCTACTTGGTTACACTTACACTGAACCCTAGCTCTCCTAAATTTAAGTTCTGGGTAATGTCAATTTAAAGAAGGTGGTCAATTACACAGATGATGATTAACTTCAAGGTTACGAACAAATCGATCTGGAAGGTGGATGAGTTCGAGCGCTATGCTGAATGTATAATCCACACAACAGTACAATACTATTCAGGTTTATCTTTGTTATGTCTTTGTTTAAATTATCCAGACACATCTGTCAATTCAACTAGTTTAATAATGAAAAGTTACCTAGAACACCTCATCAACTACCTGCCACCTGGCAGTGAGGGGATGAGACTGTAGTCGCCATGGGCAATAATATATGAAATTCAATTGAATAATCAATTTGATTTGTGGACTTTAGTGGTATTAATCACATGTTCTACTATTTCAAACGATGAAGTCTTCCTTAGTACATCAATTATGGTTTCTTATTTCTTTAGAAATAGTCAAATAGGGCTATCACCTGACTCATGAATAAGCTTTGGCCTCAAATCGAAAACGGATAGTCGAGAAAGCATTGAACATTTATTCTTCAGATGCCCCCTAGCCATCAGATTGTGGACTTTAGTGAGATTGAACAACTTTATTGAGACCGCCTCGACTGTTAACTTTAGTATATGGTGGCGACATGTCATAGTCTCTGAGACCTCCCCATTCCACATTCTCCAATGCGTCTGCTTACATTGGAGAATCTGGAAGTCTATAAATAAAGTGATTTTTGAATTCTATCAACCTCATGTCCGTTCCCTAGCCATACATTTCTACCACCAGGTCCTTGATATCTCAAACACTCTCCTCCCTCCCCAACCCCACAGCTCTCTTCCCAAACCATCCAACCACCACATGGGTCCAGCCGCCAGATGATTATTTGAAGATCAATTTCGACGCTGCTGTTTGTGTCACCGGGTGTTCGTCTGGGCTTGTTGTCCTTGGGTCAGACGGACATGTGGTGTTGGCGTTCGGGTTACAACATCCAGAAATAGTCAACCCTTCCCTGGCAGAGCTCATAGCCATTAGAGTCGCTATTTCCATAATCACCTGAATATCTTTGACTCACGTGATAGTCGAAAGTGATTCCGAAGTGGTCGTCAAGCAGATCCGGCAAGGTTTCATAGAAGACTCGATTGGTGGTCCGGTGCTACGAGAGTGTCGTCAGATCCTTAGCTCTTTGTCCATTTGTATAGAGTTTAGGGCGGTATCTAGAACTGCCAACAGTGCTGCCTATAGAGTGGCGCGTAAAGCACTGCTTTTGACTTGTCTAGAGCTAGAATCTTTCGACTTTTTGGGGTGGCTTCATTAGAATATATTGTAAGGGGTCGTTGGTATATTTGTATGAATAACTCTTGTCCTCTATTGATATTATTAAAAAAAAAAAATCAATTTGATTTGGGTCTCGTAAGGATAGCCGGAATCCGCCTCCGTGGGCTTCACATTTTGCCCTCAAACAAGTTTAATGCATCTATTTAAACAAAATGTGTGTAATGTTACTCTAGTGACAAATTTGCTAAGAATTAAACTCCAGGGATGAATTTCCCACTAGCCCTAAAGTTTAGGTGGTCGTTTGATTAGTTTACCCGTATAAAGAAAATTTGAGGAAATGAAAGAGGTGGGGCAGTCTTGTGGATTGGGATGGCAGTTGTGTTGAAACTTGAAAGTGCTACCCAACGCCAACTCCTTTAAGGCTTTAACCTTTCTTCCTCTCGTCTCCTTTTCCCCCAGAATCACAAATCGGAAAATCCAAAAAGGGTCTCCGAATTTGGGTGTTAGGGTTCTAAAGTTTCAATCTTTTCTCTTTGTTTCTACCAATTCGTAGAGCTAGAGATAGATAGATTACACTTTTCTCACATAGCCATGGAAGGAGAAGGTTCGCTGGAGTTTCAGGACTGGGAGGTTCTGGCTCATTCCGAAACCGAAGCTGTTGTGGTT